TGGGCCTTTTCGTTTGTGTGGACGAGGACGCGAATTGGCCGCAGTGAACCCATCTTGTTCACTATTTTGGTTTGTAGTCACTTCATATGTTGTTCTTTGTTTATTATTCTACCTTTTTTTTCTAACTTTCGTCATGTTGTTTTTACAGTTTTCCTGCTATCATTTTCTCTTTTTGTTTTTCTTATGTTATTCTTTGTTTTTCCATCTTTCATCTTCTCTACAATCTTTTCATTGTCTATTCTTTATCATTTTCTCTTTGCTGTCTTTCATTATGTTATTGTTTGTTTCTTCCTTCTATCATTTTCTCTTTCTTTCTTTCCTCGTGTTATTCTTAATTGTTTCTTCCTTCTATCACCATTTCTAATGTTATTCTTTGTTTTTATCGTTCTATCATTTTTTTCCTACCGTTCCTTATGTTATTATGTGTTTTTCCATCTTTCATCTTCTCTTCTATCATTCCATTATCTATTCCCTATCATTTTCTCTTTCTGTCTTTCCGTATGTTATTTTTTGTTTCTTCCTTCTATCACCTTCTCTTATGTTATTCTTTGTTTTTATTTTTCTATTGATTTCTTCTTTTTATCTTTCCTTCGCTATCCTTTGTTTTTTGCTTCTATCACCTTCTCTTTTTGTCTTTCCTCATATTATTCTTTGTTTCTTCCTTTTATCACCTTCTCTTATGTTATTCTTTGTTTTTATTATTCTATTGATTTCCTCTTCCTATCCTTCCTTATGCTATTCCTTTTCCCCCTTTCTATTACCTTATCTTTTTGTCTCTCCTTATGTTATTCTTTGTTTCTTCCTTGTATAACCTTCTCTTTTATTATTATTTGTTTTTATCATTCTATAAATTTCTCTCTCTGTCTTTCCTTTCTAATTTACGCTGCGATATAGCAATATGACGTCATTTTGACGACGGAGTACGAGTTTTCTGACGAACCTCAAATCGTGGATGAATGTGTTCTCAATTTTGGCCCGCCGACGTGAGACGACCCGACGCATGCGCAAACCGCAGAAATTACGTCACCTCTTTGACGTCGTCTATGTGGACGTGATCAACAAAAACAAAAGGCCCAAATGACTCATCTCTGACCTCGTTTCATAACTTTGCATTATGTTTGTGTACACAATTAATTCCAACCTTCAATTGAGAAACGGTTGAGTGCAGTGGGACCTACATTGTGCAGTCTATCAAAAATGCTTAAAATTCTTGATACACCTAGCAGCATCGAAAACCAAACAAACAATAAATCTGTTTTCAAAATGTGTTCAAAAAATAATGTAGATACACATTTACGTCTAGCAACGAACTATTATCTTCAGATGTCAAAGTTGTTGCTAGGTCGGACAAATATGGTCCAATGGTGATGTAAAATTCACGTTGGGGTTGGAGTTTGAAACTCCGAAACGTGACTCATTCCTTTCAATGCTGTGTGTATTTCCATTGTTTTTATCTGAAACTTGACTATTGCAGATTTATTTATCGTCATCGTCTTTTCCCTGTCTGCTCCTCTGTTATGCCCCACCCCCTTGTTGTCCCGATCACTCGGCTTTTCTCTTTTCAATTTCCCCTTCATCTTACCCTCCTTCCTGCTGTGTGTCTTTCTGTCTGTCAGTCTCTCTCTCTCTCTCTCTCTCCCTCCCCCTCTCTCTCTCATCCTCTCCCTCTCTCTCTCACCCCCCTCTCTCTCTCTCTCTCTATTTTATGGAATAAGTGTGCCTTTTGTTTAGCGTTCATGTCCGTTACGCTGTATCGCTCTAAGCTGGCGCGCCAGTATTGTTACCCTCAGAGCCGCTGATTAGTAGATTTTTAACATGACAATGTTAACATGGTCATAATCCTCTTGCAATCCTCTCAAGTTACATTAAATATACTAAAAAGTATGTTGGTAGTCACAGGCAAATTATTTTCATTGGTAATTCCAGGGAGGAGAGATTGTCTCCCCTCCATGCTTTAGTAACTCCATGATTCAATACATGTAATTATGCGTGATGAGGCGTAGGGGCACTCTATTATATTTGCAAAACAGGTGGGTTCGCTCGTGACTAAGGACTAAATTAAGCTATTATCACGCAAAACAGTCCATGTCAAAGTTTGAATTGTTTCACCAGAAATTAAAGTTGATTTGTGTCATTCAACAACTGACTGAAAAAGGACAGACCTCGGACATTCATGAACTTACTTGACCTCAAGTGGAAATGCATACAGTCGAAAAGTATAGTCTATAATTAAGTATGGTTGACTGTAATGCAGTGGGGTCTAAAATATCTACGGCCAGAAGCATAGAGCCGCAGCACCATTGCCACGGCCAAATACTGTAGCAATCAAATATGTGATGTCAGACCACAATTATACAAACACCCCACAATTTCAGCAATGTGAGTTTCATTCTGAATGTAAACAAGTAAGAAAATCAGCTTCCTGCCCGAAAAACATAGCTACAGGAGTCATCATACCAAAAAATCCCCCCCCACCCAAACCAGAAAACATAGCAGGATGTAAGGAGGTATTAATTTGGTGACATTTGCCTATAATAGATCTATTACTTCAACAACAACGACTACACAGACACACAGATCATAAAATATTACACAGTCAAACAATTCTCAAGATAAAGGGCACATTCAAATCGGGATAAAAAGCATACGACAAAGACACGCAGTGATTTCAGGCAATGATTGATGCGGGTGAAGATTTGAGCAAAAGAAGAAGGAATGTTTGGCTATTCAACCATCCATCACACCAGGGACATGTTGCATAAAACGTATTATAAACCTCTCTTTACTATGTTGAAAAAATCTAGTCATTATGATTGGTCGAAATTGTAGTCGTGATTTTAGCCATGCCCACTTAACGGTCATGAGAAAGATGCCCATTGCCAGTGGGTGGGTGGGTGGGTGGGATCCTGCATTAAACCTGTCTCAAGTTAGATGAAAGTCTCTCTTGGTACAGATTATCAAGTAGTGGCAAATATATCCCTAGTATACGTTGAACTATTTTCCTGGGTTTATTGAGTTTCTTCTGATCAAGTTTTGTTGCATTAGCAAAGTATCACACTATGTTGTACGTCAGAACACTCTGGATTAGGGACTTGTAGAAAAGGATAATAATTGTCTACCCTTAGCTTTCCTAAGGTCCTACAAAATATAGCCTCTGATTTGCCTTCTTTTGAGTTAGTTGAACATTTTTTGACCAGTCTAGTGAATTGCTGATGGTCGTACCCAGATACTTATATTCTTGTACTTGCTCTACATCTTCCCCATGAACGGAAATTGTTCTGTGTTCAATAGCATTTCGTCGGTAATCTATTATCAGCTCCTTTGTTTTGGATATATTTAGTTTAAGGAAGTGATCATCACACCATTTAATAAAGTTATCTATCGTCGTAGTATGATTCGGTATTGTCAGATGCAATGTAACCAGTAATGACTGTGTCATCTGCATATTTTATGATGCTACACGCACTTGAGGAACATCGACTATCACTGGTGTACAGAGAGAAAAGTACAGGAGAAAGGACGCATCCTTGAGGTGCTCCTGTGTTCAAAATTCTCATACTAGATTGAACATTACCCATCATCACTTTCTGTGGTCGATTGCAAAGGAAGTCCTGGATCAATAAAATAACCTGGGTTGGGACGTTACATGGTACCAATTTCTTCGTTAATACATGAGTTGCAATAGTATTAAACGCACTGGAGAAGTCTGCGAATGTAGATCTAACATACGTTTTACTTTTATCCAGGTGAGAGTACATCTTGTGTAAGTATGTCAAAAATGCATCATCTACCCCCCCCCCTCTTACACTTATACGCAAACTGCATAGGGTCCATGTGCGAAGATGAGAATTTAAGAAGATGCTTGAGCATCACCTTTGCAAAGCACTTCATCACATTACAGGTAAGCGAAATAGGTCGGAAATCGTTTGGCTCAGTAGCTTTCTTTACTTTTGGGATGGGTTTGATTAAGGACATTTTCCATTTCCGAGGAATAGTTCCTTGTTCCAACAAGCATTGGAAAATTTTGGTCAAGATACCTGCTAATTGATTTTTACACAATTTAAGAACTTTTAAGAACCGGGGGCCTTGTTAGAACGGACTGATCCAAGTACCACCCTCACTTCATGTTCGGTGAGGTTAACCCTATTCTCAGAACCTGTCTCTCTAAGACTACTGGCAATAATATCATTCTCAACTGTAAAGTCCTTATCAAATCTGCAGTAAAAGTTATTCAGTTCTTCTACAAAAGTTCGTGTGACCTCAAAATCCACGGTTGGAGATTTCTGTATACCAGTATAGTATTTTTTTTTTATTTTTTTTTATTTTTTAATAAATAAATAATTTACTTGTCTTGAAAGAGCAAGAGCAAATTAAATTAAAATGAATCAATCCATGTAGCCTTGGATATGACGCAGTTATCATTTCTCTCTATTTATTTACGTGGGGGTGTTGCTGTCAACATGTTATCCAACTATTATGAACAAATCACCAATGCTCGAAGGCCGATATTGATGTAATGAGGTCCCTAAAAAATGTCACAATATTTGCTCAAGGCCTTACTCATTTGCGAAGATATCTTCTGTAAATGTAAAAATCCGTTTGTGGCTTTCATTGTAGATATATATCGTCACCAAGGTTATACAGGACTTGCATAACAAACAATTCAATCGATCTTTTGCCGTGTTTTTGAGGGGAGTTATTTGTTTCAATTTCCTTTCCTCTTAATGCGGTTGTATGTTTTTTAACAAACCAAACAAAAGTGTGCGAGAAAGCAAAATATTTTGAAACCTTGATTAAAATTGATAAATATATTTCATCACCAAGGTTATTTATGACGTGCATAATAAACAATTCCATTGATTTTTTGCCATGTTTTTGAGGGTAGTTATTTGTTTTAAATTCCTTTCCTCTTAATGCGGTTGTATGTTTTTTTAACAAACCAAACAAAAGTAGGCGAGAAAACGAAATATTTTGAAACCTTAATTCAAATTGATGGAGCGATTCAATAGCGACGCAGCTCATGGTTAGATTTCACTAACCATGCTAACAGTTTATTTGTATTTCCGACAACTTCATGAGTAATAAACCATATTACATTGATAGGTTGTCCCATATTTTGTTTCAATTTCATCCATCTAAACGGTTGCTATGAATGGCTTAAAACGAAATGTGACTTAATAGTTAATCACACGATCGCTCACCTTATATAAGAGCTCAATTAAAGCTTCCAGTCACCATTCTGGATTTTGTGACAGGACACACCTATCAACAAAATGAAAGGAGGAATTGTTATTATATTGGCTTCCGTCGTGGCCCTTATAGGCCTAACTTTGCCAGAGGTATGTGTATGCATTTTTTTTCTTCATTCTTGGTGTTTCGTAAGAATTAAAATCAACAAAGGCGTCGGCCCTTGGTTTTTGCATACCCTGATCAACAAGATTTTCGGTACATGTTTTCACTGACCATGTATATCATTCCTCTGGCCAGCCCGCATTCAGTCTAAACATTGGTCTTTATACAAAGTTGAATGCCTAATATGTTTTGAGAATATTAACTTTCCCTAAGTTAGTTAGTAGTATTCTTTATATTGTATTCTTTAAATATATTTTTTCACTGAGAAGAGTTATGTTTACCGTTGATTTGCTCCTGATGAAGACGCATTTATCCTAAACTAAATTTGGTTTGGTTAAAAAACAGATAAGAATCAGTGAAATTTGAAGGGGAAAAACAAGATAAAGAAGAAGACAGTTATTAATCATTAGGGTTTTGCAGTCAATTAAACGCCCATCTGTAACGTTATGACCTATTTCCCATGATTTTTGAGCCATCTTCTAATTTCTTCGAACTGAAACTTTAATAAATTTCCATTTTCATGGCACTACTGTCGCTAATGAATAAACAGACTTTTTTCGTACGATGCGTGTGTAAAAACACATGTCCCATAATGACGTTCTTGCTAAAGTTGAGCTATTGGTTTATCATTGACAAGTTTGGCAGACATGAGCGCTGTACAAGATCCCACTATTGTTATTATTTCAGGATATTTATGTATTTTCTTCCGAAAAGGGAAAAGGAATAAAAGGACAAGTTTCGAATTCAAAGTGCGCAACAAGCGGAAGTGGTGCTCAAAAGATACGTCACAAAGTTGCAAATTTGTTTTTGATCAGATGCAACTTTCTTATCTTTTATCTAACCCTTCCTAATTTCCTCACATATCTGGCACGATGTGTTTTGTGCTTACATTGTATGGAACGCCAATAAAAAGTGAATTTTAAATTGTATTTACCTTTTGTGTTATAAGTTAACACATCATAACATTTAACTTACACATATCGGTCTAATTTTCAGGTGAACTCCCAGGAGACTGGTAAGTCATTTCTTCGTCTTGTTTATATTTCTTCCTTTCTGCTACATTGTTTTTCCAATGTTTTCTTCTGATTCCTCTTTCACACACATGTTTCAATACAGAATCTGTTTACCTTTTTCGCAAAGAGTGCCCTTTAATATTTGTTTTGTTTGATTGTTTTACCTGACTGCTACGAAACCAAGTGTATGCTTGTAAGTAATATCTGACAGGACTATGCCAGCTTTAAATTCAGTCAATAAGAGTTGCCAAAGTATGGGTTATTCTAGTGGGTCTATTAATAAGTGGCAAGAAAGAGGCAGAGAGATATGTCTCTACAATCATGTGCAGGAATATTAGCATCACTCGTTAAAAGATTATGGTTGAAATCTCCCATAGTGATACACTTTTTGTTTTGAACGGAGTGATAGTGTAATGAATTATTCAAAGTGTCCAGAAAATCAGCATGATTGCTGCGAGGTGGCTTATAACAACTCTCAAGATAGTTTTTCTTCTTTTTGCGATCAGCAATTTCAATAAACAAAGTTTCTGCAATTTCATTCATCACTTTCATGTCTTTAATTGTAACATATTCAAATTGACTTGGCACAAAGAATGCTACTGCACCACCACCTGTCATATGTTCACGATTATTTGTAAGTATATCATATCCAGGGAGAGAAAACAGTGTATTATATTCACCTGAAAGCCACGTCTCAGTTACGCCTAATACTGTATGTTTAGGACTCCTGTGTTATCTAGAAACAAACGAAATTGTTCATAATTCTTGTTAAAACTTCTAACATTAAGATGTAATATACACAAGCAAGAATCAGGTATACATTTGAAAACATATTTTGGCCGAGGTCTCAATATTAATGTCTATCAACGTGACATTGATACAATTTTCTAGTTCATTTCCCATCAATGGAAAACTGTAAAGATTTAAGTTACATGCTAAAAGGAAACGTGTAAACAAGTCGACGGTTTGGTACATATTCGACATCTTTTCTTCTTCTTCTTCTTCTTCTTCTTCCTTTTTATTCTTCTATTATTCCTTTTTATTCTTCTATTCTTCTTCTCTTCTTGTTTCTTCTTCTTCTTTTCCTCTTCTTCTTCTTCTCCTACTTCTTCCTCTGCCATTTGTAGATTACGATGCTTATCTTTTTCCTTGTGTACCTGCAAATTGACCTTCGGAAAATTGTGCAGTTTGCTAATTTGCAATTGGGTTTTAGCTATACGGTGGCTGAAAATTACGTCATTGCGTGACGTCACAATAGGCAATGACGGAACAATCATGTTTAATCATAAAGTGTATAATTATAACCAGTGTGAATTTCAATTTAGATCGATGTCTAGAGCCTAAATTACCTATTCTAAATGTCAAAGCCATTCCTTACCATTGACAAACGTGAGTAAATGATAAAGCATGATACAAATATTGAAACATGATAATAAGGACTAATAATGCAACTATTCAAAGGTGACGGATATAAAATGAATTCATTATTTTATTCGAGAAATTAGCTACGCCCCACTAGAAACGGTAATACAGTGACCTCGAGCCCTGTAGAGTCTCTACAGGCAATTTAAATATGTATAATATATCTATTGACACTGTCATTTCGACTAAGATCATATTTGAATAATATTGTTTGACCGACAAAAGTGGTTTTTAAACCTAACAAATGCGTATAGTCATCAAACAAATTAGTTTCGACTAGAATAAAGAAAAAAACAATCATTATCCGTTTCTCATTTTCCCTTTTTTCACAGTACTCTCAAAAACGACATTGGGGAAATAAATGAATATTCATGCAGCCAAATAACGAACGTATAAACAAATTTATGACAAAATAGCAAAGAGTTTTAGATGTATAATTCTGAACAGGATGTGCGGCTTATTTCTTAAAACTGTCCTGTGTTATGACTTAAGTTGATCCAAATATCAACCAGCTTTGTTGACAAAAATGTCCTAATATCAAAACAAAATTGCAGACATTTATATTTATTTAATATTAGTTTAACTGACAGATTTAACTAACTGTTTGGGCATTCTACCGTTACCTCCTACTCTTTAAACAAATGTTAAAGGTCAAATGTAAATTTACCCAACAGTTTTTTCCTTTTGGCAGTGTACTATTCCGTTACAGCATGTCCATCTTAAAATTGACGATTATACCATCATTTCACCTTCACCATCTGTTCGCATATTTGGTGTTACCTTTTACAAGCATATATGTCACATCATGAATCAAATGTATGAAAATCTGTTAATTTCCACTTGCAGTAGAATAAGGAAGTTCATAGATCAAGATTCTTCACATGAAGTTGTGAGATCTCTTGTTTGTCTAGTCTCAGTCCAGCTAATTGTAATTCTTTTCTCAATGGTATATCGCTGAAAGATCTTAACTCCCCTCCCTTCTACTCCTCCAAACCAAAGCAGCACGGCTAGTTCATTGTAAGCCAAAATGTGTCCATGTCTCCCCTCTCATCACTGATCTTCATACATAAAGACCTTAACTCTCACTTACAAGTGTCTCAATAATCAGCCCCCAGCATACTCTCTTAAAAAAGAGAGTGAATTTTCACTCTATTTTCACTTTCTTGGGAGTGACGTCCGTGATCACTTGTTTAGGAGTGAAAATCGATTGATTTTAGAGTGCTCTCTAAGAAGAAAAGAGTGAATGTTCACTCTATTTTCACTCTATTTTCACTCTCCAGAGGAGTGACGTCCGTGATCACTCGATTTTTGTTAGAGAGTACCTATGTGATCTACTCCATTCGCACACATCCATCTATAATACACGATCAGCCAGTAATAAAACATTTACCGTCCCTCGAACACGGGCCCTCGAAACAGTAAACTTTTTCCGTTATTTCCCCTCCCCCCAAAAATAAAAAGTAAATAAATAAAACAAATAAAATGGAACTCCTTACCCCCTGTACTTAGAATTTCCACACTCTGACAGTTTTCAAGAAATGTCTAAAAATAGGTATAGCACACAAAAAATAAGTACAACAAACACATGTTATTTAATGATTGCAAATGATCAAACTTTATGAAAGCTTCAAAAAAAAAAAAAAAACAGAATTGAAATCGGTCAATGCGTTGTGATTTTATACCATTTTTTGATATCGCAAAATTACCGAAAAACCTGCCAGAAATGGTCAAATTGGCAAAAATGGCAAAATTCGACAAAGTTGACAACTAAATTCATCACTTTCTTGGACACAAATAATAAATTAAATTATCAGACACTAAAATATCATCTTTGTGGTAAAAAATACAGAAAAGAAAATTCATATATCTATTACCGTTTTGAAAACAGAAGCAAACAAAATAAGTAATTTTTGCCATTTTTGCGAATCTGCAGATATGAAAAAATTGTGAAAATAACTCCGTTAAAAAAAAGTCCGTCTAATTAATATGCGCATAATTATGTAACCAAATTAAAACCGAACATGATACATCAATTAAACCTATGTATATCAGACAGGTATGGAAATATATTTATTTTTGAAGAAAAACAAATTATGATTATTCATCAAATATGCAAATAAGGTCATTTCAGCTAGTTATATATATAGGAAAGTCAAACTGTTCATTTTGTTGGCATTTTTTAAAATCATATATTTATAGATCATATTTACACCAAATATTAACATTAAATTCCAAATATTTTTGCAATTTCAATGAAATATGGCGATGGAAATTACTTGCATTTCCTCATATGTTTCACAAATTATTTAGAAAAGCCGAACAAATGATAAGAATTTGCAGACTTTCAGCTACATCACAGTATAGTTTTTTTTTCTTTAATATCAGATTTGAGGATTTATGATGATTTTCCGAGAAACCATTCAATTCAACAGGCCATAACATTCCACAGGGACTGAATTTCAGAAGAAAAAAAAAAAATTGGTGACCCCAGTACAGTTGTGGCTACCGTGAGTGTAAATAACAAATTGATTTAATGAGTGAAACACCTAAGGATATTGCATTTTTGTAGGGGAGTTTTATAAATTGAAGTGCATTTTCACCACGCAGAATAACAGTCAATGGGCGATCAGCGGGCCATGTCACACATGGCTGAAAAGACAATATTCTAATCAATAATTTAACATATTTCCCACATGCCTATAACAATGAAACTACACAGAATTGTAGTTAAAGGTATGCCTGAAAGATATGTGAAATAACAATTTAAAAATATTGTTCAGTTTTTTAAAAATAAATTTACGAAAATTGCTATTTCTACCAACTGACTGCTGTTGTGTGTGTGTGTGTGTGTGTATGTGCATGGGGCAGAGTGTGTGCACAGGCAGTGTGATCACCCTACTAAAAAGACACCTTTTCACATTTGTTGTATATTCCTCTCTGTTTGTATTTAATGTAAGCTTCATGATTATGATAATTTTCTCTCTTTTTGTTGTTTGTTAGAATTTCTTGCTTATGCGCTTTGCATCTAATGAAAAGGCGCTTCATATAATATGTAATATCTTTATTATAATATTATTATATTACAAAGAAGAAATAGGAGCAGACTATAAAGGGTGGCAAAAAAAAAAACCGCCACACGTGACATCTACAATGTCAACGACATCATAGACACGAGGCCGTTGGATTTTGTTTTAGTTCAGTAGAAAATTCTTTCTGAGTAAATGGACACAAAGAAGTCGAAGATAATCAATTTCGGGTAACGTGCTTCGATTCTACAGCTATTTTTAAGAAGCAGTTTTAAAACTTGAGACTTCTGCAACAGTAATCATGCTATGTAACAGCTCTCTCTCTCTCTCTCTCTCTCTCCTCTGTATGTGTTTATCTATCTACCTCTACGCTATTTCTATGTTATGTCTATGATAAAGTCCAAATTCATTATTTTCATCACCCTCTGCTTTTTTGTTTATATCATCTGCACAGTGACTATATGTCAAGGTACATTTGGTAGGATCGATTGTGGCATGAACAATGTCGTCATCGAAAGCGCTTCCTACGGGCGGAATGGCAACATCATATGTCCAAGCGGTCAAGCCAACACAGCCAGCCCGTGTTCCGAAGATGTGACGGATATCTGGCAAAACCTAAGGTGCAGCGGCAGGACAACATGCTATCCTTACGCCAGGAGTAGTTGGAACGGCAATGGATGTCCATCATACCCTCAGGCCTATTTGGAAGTCATGTATACATGTGGTAAGGCACTTGGAGAATACATTTTCGGGGGGGGGGATGTGAGTTTAAAAACGTTATGAGCCAGTTTGCTTGCTGTATTTAATATACTCTTGTTTCATGGCGAATTGTTTGGCAAACAAAAATTGACGAGTCTGCGTGGGGTCCTTCCGTCTTCTGGTTTTGTTTCCTTTCTCCTCTAATTACTTCTACCCTCGTATCTCTCTTTCGTTCTCTTTTGTTCTCCCGCCCCCCCCCCCCATTTTCTTTTCTTTTCGTGCCATCGGGGCTTGCAGGGATACATGGGTCCATATGGAAACATTGTATTATCCGCGCAATCTGTCTTACGATGCATAGAGCAAAATCATTTTTGCATGAAAAATTGAAGTTTTCTGAAAAGTGCGTTTCTTTCCAGCATAGGGGTGCCCGAGAGTCACTTTGGCAACCTTTCAAAAAGTAGAATATAAACACATAATATGCTCTTTCTCTGTACTTTTGTCGAAAAAACATAGCAATCCCGCACAATGTCGTCTCTATTTGCTTTGGAGAAGAGCAAAATAGCGATCGAGTTTCGGCCCCTCTCACAATTAAGTCCTCACTCGTTCCATTGTAGTCAGGCGGCTTTGGGGTGAGCGGCTAATGAATAAACTAATCGTTAGCTTTATTTTGGTATTACACTTGTTTGGATTTGTTTTATATTGTTGTCGGAATTTACTCATTCGCAAAATGTAACTTTTGCAACAGTAGCTGATACTTTTTTCTGTTCTTGAAACGGCAATGAATTTGCATCGAACCCTCAGGCCTATTTGGAAGTCACGTATACATGTGGTAAGGCACTTCCAGAGCACTTTTTTTTTTCCCCTAAAATTTGGCCGACCGTTATTTTGTTCAGTTTTTTTTTAATTTTTTTTTATTTATTTTTTTAGGGAGGGGGGCGGGGGGGGGGGGGGTAAGGTCACCTTTTTTTTGGGTCAACCTTTGTCACAAATTTGTTATTTTTGTTATTTTTGTTATTTAAAAAAAAAATTAAAAACAAATTGAGGGGGGGGGAAGGTTTCCTCCAAAACATATACATAACAAGTTGTCCTAGAAGTTAGTTTTCCTAAGAGGTAGTTGACTGGGGGTGGCTATCCGGGGGTGGATGTCCAGGGGGTAGTGTCCGGATACGGTGCTTGTGTATGTGTATGTGTGCGTGTGTGTGTGCGTGTGTGCGTGTGTTTGTGTGTGTGTGTGATATTTACCTCAATTTACGTTCGGCATTTCTAACTGTAGTTGTTTTTACTTTACAATTATGACATCATTCGCACATGAATGGACACCATAACGTCGACAACAATGGCACGATTCTCAACGGCCGATTCCACAGCTATTCCTACAACTACAGAAATGACCACAGCACCAACTACAGAAATGACCACAGCACCAACTACACAAATGACCACAGCACCAACTACACAAATGACCACAGCACCAACTACACAAATGACCACAGCACCAACTACAGGTATGTTGAAACGTCAAGAATTCGGTTTTGATTTGATTTTTTGAATTCACTATGTATAGGCTACATGTCATCTTTTGAAAGTTAAATATCAATGCTTATCAACGTGACATTGATAACAATTTCTAGTTCATTCCCGATATACCTAAAACTGTAAATATTTAAGTTAAACATGCCTAAAGCAAACGTATAAACTATTCGTGATTTACCATGGATTTATAAGTCCATGGTTTTGTACGTCGCGTACGTGTTCGACATTATTTTTTATCCATCCTTGCTGGTGAAATTAAGGGAATGATACTTTGTGAGGATAGGTACCGATTTTCGGTCAAATTTTCTCATTCTTCTTGTTCTTCTACTTCTTCTTCCTTTTTATTCTTCTAATCTTCTGTTTCTTTTCCTTCTCTTCTTCTCCTCCTACTTCTTCCCCTGCCATTTGTAGATTACGATGGTCGCGGTTCATAATCACAAGGTCTAGCATTTAATACCCATGACAGATGCTTATCTTTTTCTTTGTGTACCCGTAACAAATCATGTTATCATGCAGTCCTTTCAACAATGTTGATCTTCGCAATGACAGTGTATCTTTCACTTTAGACATTGCACTTGTGTGTTATAACCAGGAGAGCGATATCAAATGCGAGAAGGAACTTATCCACATCGTTTCTGCCGTCTGGGGCCGCACTGACACCACATCAGTTTGTGGCAAAACCAGTATTAAATCAATTTTGTTGGAAATATGATTCATTAATGGGAAAAGAAAGCAAAGAGATGATTAAGAGAGGGTGGTTAAATAAATAAATACATACTAGCACGAACACACCCACACACGCACACACACGCACACACACATACCCAAGCACATGTACATACATTTATACATGCATACATACATGCACGCACATGCCAAATTTGACAACCATAAAGTAAAAGAATTGGACATATTTTGAAATACTGACAGCTGCAAACTGTAGTGTTTTATTATAATGAACTCCGAAATAAGACGACACTCTTTCAAGTAGTAACATAAAGATTGAGTATTTCGTCAGGAAGATGCGAACTCTTTATTTTGAGTCCCATCACTTAGAAAATGATGTATAATGGTCAGGGGCGTCGCTAGACCTTTTTTAGTGGGGGTGTAGAGGCCAACGATTACCGACAAAACTAGCCCCCAATTACCTACAAAATTAAATGTCCCAATATTTACAAATTTAACCCTATATACCCGGGGCCGAAGGGGTCTGAAAATCTGAATTATCTGAATTCAGTTTACCCCCCCCCCCTCTCGCGCGAAGCGCGTAAGCCTTGACTTTTCCATAAATTATTAGAAAAAGCAGACGATTTGTTAAACCGTGCTCGACTCTTAATCTTTGTCTGAATTCGGCTTACCCCTCCTGCGCAAAGCGCGGAAGTTTTGACGTTTCATTAAATTATTAGAGTAAGCAGACGATTTGTTGTACCATTTTCGACTCTTAAGAAGCCCTATTTATCTGAATTCAGTTTCCCCCTCTCGCGCGAAGCGCGGAAGCCTTAACGTTTCCTTAAACTATTAGAGAAAGCAGACGATTGGGTGTACTGTTCTACTCTTAATTCTCGTCTGAATTCAGTTTCCCCTTCCCGCGCGAAGCGTGAAAAGCTTAGACGTTTGATTTAATTATTATAGAAAGAAGACGATTCGCTGCACCGTTTTCGACTCTTAATAAGCCCTATTTATCTGAATTCAGTTTCCCCCTCTCGCGCGAAGCGCGGAAGCCTAGACGTTTCTTTAAATCATTAGAGAAAGCAGACGATTGGGTGTACTGTTCTCGACTCTTAATCCTTGTCTGAATTCAGTTCCCCCCTTCCCGCGCGAAGCGCAAAAAGCTTAGACGTTTGATTTAATTATTATAGAAAGAAGACGATTCGCTGCACCGTTTTCGACTCTTATTAAGCCCTATTTATCTGAATTTAATTCAATTTATTCAATATAAACAACAAATTAATTCATTCATAGACCTACACAAACATCACATGCATTGCAGCCCCTAAATATCATCCCCTCGTCCCTTAAGTTTTAGGTGTGAACAAATGACAACCACCGAATAGGACTTGGGCAATGCAACAGTAACCGTATTATTTATCACTCTCAATCAGATGCGTTCACAGTTTTCACACCTCTTAAAAAATGTTTCTGGAATTCATATAATGATACATGTACTGTGTTTATTAATTAAATCTAATGAATTCTTTAATTTCCTCAGCCAAATCCTTTCTCAAATATAAAATTGAAAGAATGTGTACAGGCTTACCTTGAAATAACTGAAGAGACAAACGGCCACTGTAAGTCTTGAACACGCCAGGCCTGGAACTTCAGTCTTCATCTACCCCCCCCCCTCCCCCAAACTCAGGGGTCGGAGGGACCGCATGCGCGTTCCTAAAATCTCAAGGAAAGGGATACTTTTTCGTGCGACAAAATCCGGCCCGAGAATTGTAAAAAAAGGGGGTGTATTTGACTTTTCACCCGGAGATTTCGTTAAAAAGAGGGTAGGTTTTTTTCTCTCTCTCTCTTTGGACTCCTGAAAAATGTAAAAAGGGGGTTATAAAATATCTTGAATATAATCGAAAAATTGATCAAATCCCGGGATCAAATTCATGAAATTCCTGCTAGCTTTTAAAGCTCATACAGGATTATTTCATTTTGAAAAGTAAAAACACTCGCCCCCAGTCCCCCTCGATCGACTAGAGCTCACCTGGATTTTTTTTTTTTTTTTTTTTTGTTTTGGGGGGGGGGGGGGGGGTCTCCAAGGCAGGAAAAACCAGCGAAAAGACGGCGAAAAGCCGGCGAAAGGGGGTTTCAGAAATGTTGGCAGCCCTGAGATAGGGGGGGGGGTGCTTTCAAAGGGAGTGAACGAGCATACGCGTACCCTAAATAACACTGAGTGGGGGGGGGGGGGGGGGGGTAGCCGGGCATCTACTGTACATGATTGCACTTTTTAAGCGCTTGCGCGCTGGCGCACTTTACGTCTGGGCTATAATAATACGCGGGGGTAGTCTTCCTAGTGGGTTGTTGTCCTAGGGGGTAGTTGACTGGGGGTGGTTATCCGGGGTGGATGTCCAGGGGGTAGGTGTCCGTATACGGGGCGTGTGTATGTGTGTGTGTGATGTGCCGTGTAAAGGTGTCAGAAAGTACTTGAATTTCACGTACACCTGCGAAGGTAATAGGCCTTTACTCCAGTTATCAACTTAAATAATTTCGATTGTGTCATTTAGGATGCACAAAAACGTTCATGAGTAAAATAATTAGATTCTCCATCAAGATGGTAATTAATCTAAAGAAAGAGAGAGGAAGAGAGAGAGAGAGAGAGAGCGCGCGCGCGAATAAATATTATAATAGAAACTCCATTAATATAAATAAATTCTAATTGAGTTACGATTTCTTTTTCCGGGATAAGGTGAATATTAAATGATTTCCAGCAGATTCCAAGTCAATGAGTGTTTGTGTGTGTTAGGGCGTTGTGGAAATATTGGATGCAGGGAAAAGTCCGAAGAATTTTTTCTATTTTCGTGTCGCTCCAATTTGGGGGATTCTGAGGAGGCTAGGAACAGTGTGTGGTATATATGTGGAAGTGTGGCGGGTGGTGTGTGTGTGTGTGTGTGTGTGTCGCATGGTGATTTTATTTAAAAAAAAATTATCAATCGTACAATTTGTGTAATGAATATGTTTAGAATTCATATCAAGATGAAAAACAACTGTATTTTATTTCTAAGACTGATTTGTATTGTTTGGAATCAATAAAAAAAAACTATTGAAGATAAAAAGTGGATAGAAGAACTAATAAATTGATTGAATAATCCTTTTGGGCGGTTTATTTGATTATGATGCACATCCTGAAATGAAATTGATTTTACTTATTTTCTTGTATTATGATTTTGCACCATTTCGATTTAAACAGAAGAAGCAACAACGACAATGCAGCCAACAACATTGCAGCCGACAACAATAACAATGCAGCCGACGGTACCACCAGCAAGTATGTAGACCTATGTTTACCTACAGAAATTGACGATATTACTGGGGTTGTAGCTGTCAGTGTTGTAGATAAAGGAGGCATAGGGGGAGGAGAGCACCAGCCCCCTTTACACATCGAATTACACACAAAGGGAGTGAATCTGCAATAATTGCAAACACTGCCGCAAAGTCGACCTGGGGCAATGTCAGTAGCCCTATCAATCCTCTAATAAAACATGCGAACATGACAATAACATATATCGTTAAGTTATGTAGGTAATATTTTGTTTTCTTGGTAATTTGAGTAATGTTAATTCTATTAGTAATATTGATTTTGTTTGAAGTAATTTTGATTTGTTTACATGTACAGCGCTTTGAAACTTCTGTCACAAGCGCTATATAAATTTGTCATATTATTATTATTTTTATTATCGTAATCTGAACGTGATTTATATAGGTTGTGAAATACGTTTCTGAAAGCTCCCTTTCGATTTCCTTCAAAGTCGTTCCTTCATTTTAAAAAGGGAAATGATAAATAGACAGAAAATAAATAGAGAGATAATGAAAGACCGAAAGAGACAATTCATGGGAAATCGATGAGAAAAGAAGTAGATAGGACCAAACGTCCCCCTTAAATCAGAGGTTTTGCTGAAGCAGGGAAAGTTTGAACAAAAACCGATTACAAAATTAATGAGAAAGTTATGATTTTTGAAGGTGCAATCTGGTTTTATCTTGCTTTTCCTCCCACTACTGAAAAACTTAAGGGAAATTGTAAATTTGTTAATCATACTTTAACTCACGACCCTGTGAGTGTTTGTGTTCCTATCAATTAATTTAAGTGTCGTGGTATAGTGGTCGATTCACTTGACCCTCAATCCAACATGTCCAAGGGTTCGGGGTTCGAATCCCACCCTTCTACTAACGTACCTAGCTCAGGAAGACATTAATACTCATTTGCCATTCTCCACCCAGGTGTAAATGGGTACTTGCAAGGCCCTTCATTGATGCTGATTAGGCTTCCATGCATGGGTAAACAAAGTATCATTATAAATTGAATTCCAATTCTCTTACCTATTTTAGAATGTTTTAACCCCCCCCCTCCCCACCCCCATCTCCCTCCCTCAAACTCAAAGCCCCTGTATACCACCTCTCAGCTTTCATTTCTTAATCCATTTCTATGTAATTTCTATGAATAAGTCCAAATTCATTATTTTCACCACCCTCTGTTTTTTTGTTCATATCATCTGCACAGCGATTTTGACTCCAGTGTGTCAAGGTACATTTGGTACGATCAATTGTGGCTCGAACAATGTCACCATATGCAGCGCTTTCTACGGGCGGAATGGCAACATCATATGTCCAAGCGGTCAAGCCAACACAGCCAGCTCGTGTTCCGAAGATGTGACGGATACCTGGCAAAACCAAAGGTGCAGCGGCAGGACAACATGCTATCCTTACGCCAGGAGTAGTTGGAACGGCAATGGATGTGCATCGCACCCTCAGGCCTATTTGGAAGTCACGTATACATGTGGTAAGGCACTTGGAGAATACATTTTCGGGGGGGGGGGTTGTGAGTTTAAAAACGTTATGAGCCAGTTTGCTTGCTGTATTTAATATACTCTTGTTTCATGGCGAATTGTTTGGCAAACAAAAATTGACGAGTCTGCGTGGGGTCCTTCCGTCTTCTGGTTTTGTTTCCTTTCTCCTCTAATTACTTATACCCTCGTATCTCTCTTTCGTTCTCTTTTGTTCTCCCGCCGCCCCCCCCCCCATTTTCTTTTCTTTTCATGCCATCGGGGCTTGCAGGGATACATGGGTCCATATGGAAACATTGTATTATCCGCGCAATCTGTCTTACGATGCATAGAGCAAAATCATTTTTGCATGAAAAAGTGAAGTTTTCTGAAAAGTGCGTTTCTTTCCAGCATAGGGGTGCCCGAGAGTCACTTAGGCAACCTTTCAAAAAGTAGAATATAAACACATAATAGGCACTTTCTCTCTGCTTTTGTCGAAAAAACATAGCAATCCCGCACAATGTCGTCTCTATTTGCTGGTATTACACTTGTTTGGATTTGTTTTATATTGTTGTCGGAATTTACTTATTCGCAAAATGTAACTTTTGCAACAGTATGCAACAGTAGCTGATACTTTTTTCTGTTCTTGCAGAGGGCGCTACACAATTTGTTTTGGTGAGATAATGAAAACTGATTATCAAATTTGAAAGAATATACTTATTAAAATATCAAAATCAACCAGCCGGCCTATGTATTGTTATTATTGATTAATTAATTAATTAACCGTCACCGTATCAAAAAAAAAAGTAGAGTTGAATTGGTATGATCCTTTTAAATCTATATTCACACATTTTGGGGTCTAAAATATAGAAATAAAGAAATTCTACAAATTCATCATTATTTTCCTCTTCTTCCTCCGCCTCTTTTTCTTCTTCTCCTTCTTCCTTTTCTTCTTGTACTTATTATCATTTCTATCATCAGTTTAATGTTGTTATTATTATTATCTTTAATAAGTAATTCTTTTATTTTTCTTATTATGTCTGTAAATAATTATTACTATTTTAATTTATTAATTTTATACATGTCTGTAAGGGACCCCACTGGAAATAAGCTCTCGAGCTTTCGTGGGTTTTCCTGTTCAAGTTGACCTATTTCTGATCCGTTATTATTGTATATTGTTGTATGTTGGAAGCTTGTCGAATAAAAATCAATCAATCAATCAAAATTACCTTCATAGCAATTTTAGGCTCTGAAAGTGCACTAGACGTGTCATAAATAAAAATAAGAGCGATAACTTTGAAGACAATTGTAGTCTTAAACAATAATAGACTTTTCATTTAAGCTATAATATAGTTCTACCCAGAGCCATATATTCTACGCCATTGTTGTGACCAAGTGAAACCAGTTTGGTCAAATTCTGTCATACCGAAGCTGTGACGTCATACAAATCTATTTTTAGAATTTCTCAATTTTTTCTTCATTTTCAGAAAAAGCATCAAAAATAATGTCCAGATGTTGAAAAACAATTGAATATGTTCAGTATTGGCTGAGATATGACCATCTGAATAAATATATTTCCTGTAGGAACTCAGTGTTATTTGCTCTGGCTCGTAATGGTTAGACAGTGGACAGTATGACGTCACACTTAGGTACTCTTATATTATCATTAATGGTTCATCAAAAGGATAAACCTTATTAATTCTCTTCTTTTTGTTTTCTTCTTGCCATCCTTCATTCGCTCTCTCCCTGCGAATTCGAATTCTTCCATGTGTGGATCTACCATCTGTGACAACAGCACCAGAAGGATGTCCTGTGCCGGCACTACCCGCTTCTTAGAATTCCTACATCAGAACATGGTATACCAGCAACTGTTTATTGTTGAATGTGTAATCAGTAGAACAAACGAACACAAACTGGTGTAATTTCATCCTTTTTTCCAACTGCAAAATTACAAAAAAACACGCAAAAACACGCATACTTAAAGTTATCGAAGATTGTAAATCATGGATTAAAATTAATAACGGGACATTAAAACATGCACAAATTAGCGCATTATCCTAAAATATTGAGTTTTTGTCAGGATCTTATTTTTCTTTTACCAACTCTGGCACACAAATTATGGGCAGGGCGGAGTACTAAATTTGAAAAATTGTATGATGTACTATTCCTAATACAATCCCCATATAAAATTTACACTGAAATTTTTCCGGTAATTTAATATGTTGTAATCAATGTGAAACTGGTGTCTGGCCTCCGAAATTCACCGCAGTGGAAGCGCGGTTCGGAGCATGGAACTTCAAAGCGGAATGTTACACATCCCATTGTTATGCTTTAGAACTCACGAATGCGTTTGAATAAATTAATTACAAGAGTTTTCCACTCCTTTCTTTCATCTTTCTTCATGTACGTACTAGCCATTGCTTTGTTTGTTTGTTTGTTTTATTATATTTTAGCACGGTTGCATACTTCAGCCAATGGCTGTTCTTCAGCATGGCCGTGCATAGTTACCCATTGCATAGTTACCCGATGCACTGGCACCACCTTGCAAAGAATTCATTTGAGCAACTATATACCTGTTGGGCACTTCCATACAAGCCATGCAAGCGATGGCGGAAGCACTTTGTATTTTGCTATAACTAAAAGGGCGATGTTAACACCGTCAGACAACACAGTCGCAAACGCACGGTACAGTGTTTCGTTTACAATGGAAAGCAGGTTTATGTCTTACACAAAGACAATAAAATTGTAATATTTCATTTTTAATTATTGAAAAGCACTCACTGCTTTAACACAAAATTAACAGAAATATAATGTGTACGGGAATGTCCCTGTCTAAAACAGCAACATGAAAACAATGAAGTAGAACATAGATTCTTCTAAAAATATAAAGTCATTCTGAATTAATGTATTTCCGGGGCGCTTGCTCCTTTTAAGGTGTCATGGTGGTTAAAAGGTTTTAGGAGGAACCTATATTATGCATAAATCAAAGGAAATATCTCTCCTTTGCTGAATTGTATTTTATTTGTTTTAATTACTTCATAATAGAAAAAGAAAAAAAAATTGAGTTGAATGCTGAATGAATACAACTAGTTTTTCAGTGCATTGTAATCAGTACTCATACTATTATATATGGTGTCTTAAGTTTTTTGTACTTTCATTTAATATAAACTTCTTGTATGCGCTTCTTGCATAGGAAGAGTATGTGCCTTGTAAAATACTGCCATAATTGTTGTGAACATTACTGAGGAAGAAAAAATGATACCGGTAGTTCGTTTAAAAGTAAAATCGTAATTATACGTAATATATGAAGTAATCGAATATAATTGTAGCCTATTACTGAATCATATTTGTGTCATAGAATATTTGTTGTTTGGGCAAGAAAATCCTGGAAGTATATGTAACGTTCTAGACTTAACTTTTGTCTTCGTCATAGTTTGCAACAAAACAATTGAATTTTCGTAATTTTGTTAAGATTACTAGGTTGAAGAACAATGTACTAAAGGGTAACTATCACAATAAGGTTCTAGATTTTTAATAAATATCTGATGAATCCTGGAAAAATCAGAGGTAGTCTTGATGGTTATTATAGTGTAACATTATTGTAGGGTATTGTGAAGTAGTTATAAATTGACATCAAACAGGTCGTTGCACTTCATGTTTAGTTAGATAAAAGCTCCATTAGGGCTATAAATTCAATACAATTATCACGTATACTAAATCTTAGATGTGATCTGAGACATAGGCCTACGAGACTAATAGATTGTTGCCAGAGCCTTAAAAGGACGTCACATTGCCTTAAAAGGATGTCACATGTGGCAGTCAACGTTCTCGTCGTGCAAATCTAAAAGTCCCTATCTGAACAACGCCTTAGTCTGGATCACCCGTTCCTTAAACAAGCATGTCTTTTTTCGCGTAGAAATACTAACTTTCGTAACTAAATAATCAATATTCTATAAGAAACTTCTCTTAATCATAATAAAAACTAGTCATGTAGTTCTTGCAGCTTATAATGTGTTTCGGTGTCATTCATTTCCCGTGTTTTATCACTTGTTTGTTTTCTTTTTCATCGGCGATCTGGTTCCGCCAATGATGAAAATAACTACACCTCCACAATGAGATAGGATGTTTAACATTATAAACTTGAAGAACATAGGACCTTCTTGCATTAAAAAGTTGCGTTTAAACGCGACTGATTTGTTTCACTTTTATGCAATCAGAATAGCTTATTTTGGACTTTCGTGTAATCGCAACCAAGAGGGCCGTCCGTATCTGTATGCTTTTGCTACGCAGTGGTTGACCCAGGGGTGGCGATCCCGGGGGTGAAGAAAAAAAATGCCCAAAAGATAGAGATGGTAAGATAGAAAGAGCGAAAGAGCGAAAGGAAGAAAGAAAATAAGAGCGAAAGAAAGAAAGAAAGAAAGAAAGAAAGAAAGAAAGAAAGAAAGAAGGAAGAAAGAAAGAAAGAAAGAAAGAAAGAAAGAAAGAAAGAAAGAAAGGAAGAAAGAAAGAAAGAAAAAAAGAAAGAAAGAAAGGAAGACAGAATACGTTTAAATACTCATCATCATCCATAAATTGTATTATTTGAACAGATGTCAAATATGTTGTCAAATAAATGTTCATTCATTATTTTTTTTCTTCATTTTTCATTTTTATTTTCAGCTATATAGTTGAAATAATTTGCACTCCAAATGAAATTGAAAACTTTCTATACATAAATTGTGTATGGCCTTTAAGTGGGCATGAAATGCAGACAGTATTAAATCAAGTGTACGGAAAAGAAAATCACATCACTATGTATAGGGAAATTTATCAGAATATCACATCTTTGAAATGCGGTTGTACAATATTTTTAGTTATAGGAAAATGATAGGAAAATGATGGGAAAATGATGGAAAGGTATCTCTCTCTCTCTCTCTCTCTCTCTTCCATTCTTCCACCCACCCCTCTGTCTCCAACCTCTCGCTCGTCTCTAGACTCTGTTTCCCTTAATTCCTGTTGCTTACCCCTTGGCCCCTTTCTCCCTTTCATTTAAAATATACTCTAAACTTAACAATATAGTACGGGACTTTCAAAACCTAAATGACGATGAGAAATTTAAACTAATGATGTCCAATGACGAAACCGACATAAGCGCAATGATATTAGGAATAAGCGAAATGTACCACAAACGAATATACCTACTGAAAAATAATAAATCTAAAAATAACTACACATAACATCCCCCCCGTTAAAAAAAATTAATATATATATATATATATATATATATATGAAGTTCAAGTCTTGTTTTTGACCTCGTATTTGCTTTCATTTGCTCAATCATTTACATTGCTGTTTATCTTTATACTTTTGATATATTTTGATTGCAATATCAAGTATATAAGATAAAGAAACGACCATATATTATATATTCGCGAGATTAGTAGATCATTGATTGTTTTTGTTTTTTCTCTCGCTGAAATTTAGTGTTGTAAAAAGCATTATTTTTTGTGATCCCTTGCTCACTGTCTCCCACGTGGTGGTTGGGTTCAAAATAGGATCGTATTTTCGTGGGGAGGGTTATACATAATATATATATATATATATTTTAAATCTTTCTAGAGACTAGCTTGATAGAGACTAGCTTGATACTTACATGATAGGATATACGGGTGTGCCGCTCTAATGGGTAACTTTTTCTCCCAAAAAATCCCTAAACATGGGTCCCACTTTTAACAAAAATACCATTAAAATGGAGGGGGTCGTTTTGGGGGTATTTTTTCGAGAAAAATGCCCCCAAATGCCCCCTAATAATGGGTAGGGGTTTCGAGGCTTGAGCGGCACACCCCATCCAAATCAAATCTGAGTACCCCCCCCCCCCCCGGATTCTTGACGGAAAGACTTAAATTATAACTCTTCACCCTGGTATTTCTCAAAAAATGGAAGCAGTTTTATTCTCTGAATATTGCTTACAAGCATGACTAATCTGCATTACAATTACCTTGACTCATATCAACATGCATTAGATGGAATTACAAAATATTAGACTACAACTTTTATGATTTTTATCTACGCTTTACATCTTTATAAGATTAACAAACTATCAGTTAACAAATAAATTTGTATGCTGATTCTCGAATTATAGTCCCTTTTCCATTTCCTATATATATTTTAACATTCAGGATGAAATGAACGGCCAATAACAGTGGAATCATACTATTAAATAATTTTTTAGCATTTTGACCTAAAAAGGAAATAAATAAAATACATACTAAAATGCAAAAGTGAATTTCTGAGTTGTGTGTTAATACTTTGTTACAGATTCTAACACTTAATAACTGACGAGGATATATATATACAACAAATACAATTTTTTCTTTGATTCCTATTTCTACCAATATAAGAGATGATGTATTTTCTCTTTTTCTGCACAAAGCCTGTTGAAGAAAGATAATGTACTATGGCATGGCTCAACATTTTTAGAAATATGACTTGGGTAAAATGAGAAATATTTAAAAATGGGTGAAAATAACCTGCACGTACATGAATTCTCTCTCTGAAACCATTGACATTGGAGTTGTTGATTAGAAAACTTATTTCCACTTTCATTTTGACTGACATTTCGTCCAATCTGGTTTGTCCTCTTAGGAATATACTGTCAATATAAATGTTTTTAACAAAGTAAGAATAACATGTAAGGTCCTTTTGCTGCATATCAGGCAATTTGAAAGCTGCAATATTAATAGGCCAACTTTCAATGGTCAACTACGTTTACATTTGTTATAGTTGTTAAGAAAAATAATAAAATAGAATTTGTAATTTTGATTTTGAGATTATTCTGGAGGGCAAGGAGTGATAACGAGGACATTTTGTTTTTTAATCCGAAAAATCAAACCTATCGTGGAAGACAGCATCAGAAGAAAAAGAAAAACATCATGATTATTCTCCTTACAACACATGAAAATATCTTCTTACATTGTAATTCATTCTATACAGCATGATTCTGCTAAGATATAAATAAGCTTCATAAAAAAATTGCATATTCTTACTCTTTTTTGTTACAACATGTATATTTCTGTAAATAAGGTTTTCATTATTTAAAACATTTTCAAATAAACAATTCCAAAAACGAGCCTTTCAGACTAGAATCCTATAAAAAATTCATGTTCAATAACATGAATCCATATCAAATATCTTTTAACATATCAAATATTACTAATTAGTATACATAATTTAACTTTATTGTTGATAAAAAAAAAAGCCTATAAGATATACAAGATATACATGTACAGTACTGAACTATATTGATGGTCAAGTATAAAAATACTATATTATGCAGCTAAAATGTACATGTTTTAATAGTTACAACTCATGAGCAGTCGTCAAAGTAAATGTACAGGTAATAAATGTACTTCACCGGTTACAGAAATCTCTACATACATGTAAGTTCATATTAAAAACTATATATTATATTTAAGTACTTTTTTTCTTATCTTGCAATAGCCAGTACAAATGCACTTGTCTTATATACACAAATAAAGAATGTTAACAAGAAGACACGTACAGGGTTAACATCAGTGTAACATTATCACTTGCGTTTACTGAATTTGTAAGCAAACGATTCTTATTTTGCAAGATTGGAGATACCAAAGTGAATAATTATGCATGTGCATAATGAATTGATTTATTTTAAAAGTAAAATACCAAATTACTATACTTCAAAAGTTTTCACATTTTTTAAAACATGAAAACTCATGTCAAATGGCAATAGACATATTTAAATCTTTAAGTCAAAAGACCAACATATTTTTGTGTCCTATTACAGATTGAAAAATTCTCACGACTTGCCTATTAACTGATGGTTAACTATTAACTGATGGCAGTAGCACTTATACATGCATATCATTATTAGCATCAATGACATCATTTTTTTCTTGCTAGGATAAAACAATCAAAAAGACATGACAAGAACGCTGACAAACAACTGTTGGTATACATCTGAATACTCTTTAAATATTCATAACTCAAAACATTAAGCTGACATACAAAAGTGTACAAAAAGCATACATGTATTGTAGTAGTAGACCATGCATAGCTAGAGGACCTACTCATATTATGTAGAGGATAGAAGTTCTTTTACAGAGCACTTTCTTCATCGTTGAACCCATTGTTTGAGTAACCTCGCCCCCCTCCTCCTCCTCCTCCCATTGCTCCTATCCCATCTCCTCCGCTCGTCTCTCTCTTGATCGTTCTCCTCACCCGTCTCTCCTCGACGATGTCGGCGTCGTCGTCGTCCTCATCGTCCATCATGGCGAGGTTGAATTCGCCGTTCCTGCTACCGCTGTCATCGGACTGTGAGGACATGGTATGGGAAGCCACTGAGGGGTTCTCAGCGTTGCTACCGCCACTGTCAGGCAAGACCTAGACAGGGAGAAAGAGGTTGTCAGAATCTTGGATGTAAAATGTTTACATTTATTGTTAAAGGGAGTGGGTCGCCATTTTGCAGCTGCAGAAGGCCATAATTCGCTGACACCAGACTCGGTGGAAATACAATTAATGTGTTTACAAGTCTGCACACAGCGAACCCATAGGTCCATCAAGAAATACCCTTATGTCATGTAAAGTGAGATAGTGACTTTATCTTGTGGAGGAATGGATGAGGAAATACAAAGCATTACATATGGCATGTCTTCATCAGCTCAAGATTGCCAAATAGCCCGCTGTTTCTGATGTGGGAAATAATCCTGAAGTTACAAATCGTGTCTTCATCAACACGAGACTTGACCTCGAAACTTGATTAATTATCTGCTATTCTTACTGTAACCAATAATACATGTACCTAAGGAATTCCATTGTTCTCAAGTGCAATATGTTTATACATTATACTGTACTCATATCACGCTTGTGATTAGCACACTGCCAAGACTCCAATTGTAATACTTTTTAACACTTTTTAATACCTTTTAATACTCACTATACCTTCTAAATGGAATTTGTATTGCATTTTATTACAATTTTTCCAATGTTACGGTTAATTGAATTCACGTATCTCTATGCATTTTATTTGTTTATATGTAAACATTTATTCATTTTTGCTAGCAATATTTCATATCTTGTATTTTTAAAAAAATCTTTTTTGTTGTTGTTTTGTTTTCTTGTTACTACTTTAATGTTTTGATTTAAAAATATATTTATTGTTATGTTATCTTTATGTTTTTTAATGCTTTTTTATATTGATGTAAACTTGCATTTTTAGTCTTCGGACTTGTTCACAAGTAATGAATAAAACCTTATTTGAACTTGAACTTGAAACTCTAGTTTGAGAAATTAGCTAGAGATATTTTGCTCAGCGTTCGCTCAAAGTGCGAGTCTTCGAGCTGGTGAAGACGCACCGGACAAATAGCGGGGTATTTTGCAAACTAGCCCAAGATATCTTGGGATGATTATCTCGACCAAATATCCCGCTAATTGCAACTTCGGGCTGATGAAGTCGCAAATTAACTGGATAATTTGGGATCGGATAGTTCAAATAACGGGACATTTGGTAATCTTGAGCTGATCGATGAAGACAGACCTATAGAGATGCATAAGCGTGATCACTCAGTACTGTGCTTTGCTCATTTAATGATTGGAAATTAAATCAATTACTCACCTGGTACGTAAAGCTTCGACCCTGCGGGCTGGATGACCCACTCATTGAGCTATGCTCATCTTGTAAAGCCAACCTGGATTCTATACCACTGAGCATATGATCTGCTGCAAAGGAGGACGATAAAGACGAAACAGCTTTTATTAGATTTAATTTCATTTCATTCATTCTCAGGAATACTTAAAATTGAGTCAACAATAAAATACATATAAATAAACAGCGCCATCAATGTTACAAAATTCCAAATTTAAAATAAGACAGAGAGGGGTGAGAAAAAGAAAGCGGAATTTATGAATAACAGGCCAAGTAAATTATAGAATTACATTTATGACAAACATGTACATATATAGTAGGCTTGCGGGTGCACCATGTGAGAGCAGCAGCATCAAACATGTACATTTACTACCTTTATGGTATCATTTGAAAAAAACTACAGTACTTCAATAGTAACTTTATACACATGTACTTAGAAAGTTTTTAAAAAACAAAAAGAAAAAAAGAAGCAGAATTTGATTGTTATTGGCAAACAGTGACATTTAATAAGTGCAGAAGCTGAAAAGGGTCACCAGTCAAAAAAGAGAAAGAGCAAGAAAGAGAGGGAAAATGGAATGAGAAAGAGAGTAAGAAAGAACACCAGAGTTTTTAAGTGGAAAATAATTCAATTGACAGGTTGTCCTTTCAGCTTCATATGCAGAACCTGCTAAAAAATTGATATATATATATCTTGGCTGATTATTCCATAACAAAATATATATTTTAGTGTTATTAACATCAAAACTGGTATTAAGATAAAAACTTGTGGGTTAGAACAATGACATGAAGAAGGCATGAAATCTGCTAGATTTAATACATAACTCGCACAAAATTATATGCACTCTTGGAGAATAGCAATTACAAAGTATTGTACAATTGAATTTAAACACAAAAGAGAGAATTATGTAATAGATAGATCACAAAAATTGGGTTATGTTAACATATTCACATGTTTAAATTGTCTTAATGAATAGCATTACTCTGGGTGACAATACCATATTCAAACATAAAATTGTTTGATCAGAATATTGAAAATTATCCCTGGAAAGTAAAGTCTCACATTCAGGCTTTTTAAATCCCATATAAGCCCCTTCAGATACAACAAAAATTTGATTAGATGCGACTAGTATAGGTTTGTTATTTCTTGAAACACAAACAATCGGAATATGACATGATAACAGCAATCACATACCACTCATACCTTTAGGATTTGTTAGATTCTCTGTCTGCCTAACTTTGTTTTCTTTTTGTTTGCTAGACAAGGCGATATCTCCTGATTCCAGTAAAATGATTTCTCCTGGCCATGCAAGCATTGAAAAGTAATCAAGTTTATGATAGTCATCTTTTAAACTAAATTGTCTCTTACAATATACACACTCCCACAGAAAAAAGAAGAAAAAAAAAGGAAGGAAAAGTGGAAGAAGGAGAAAGAAAAAAATAGAAAGGGTCAAGAAGAAGAACAAGAAAAATAAAGGGAAAAAAAGAAGAGGAGGAGAAGGAGAAAAGGATATTGGATTTCATTGAAAAGTAATCAGGTTTTATACAATAGTTACGTTTAAAATGAATTGTCTCTTACAATATACACACTTCCATTTTATCTGCAAGAAGTTTCACAAGTGTAGGAGGTAAAGGATAAAAGAAGAAGAAAAAGAGGAAGAGGAAGAAGAAGAAAAAGAAGAAGAAGAAGAAGAAGAAGAAGAAGAAGAAGAAGAAGAGGAAGAGGAAGAGGAAGAGGAAGAGGAAGAGGAAGAGGAAGAGGAAGAGGAAGAGGAAGAAGGAAGAGAAGAAGAAGAAGAAGAACAAGAAAAAGAAGAAGAAGGGTTAAGAAAAATTAGAAAGAAAAGGAAAGGAGAAGTGGAAGAAGGAGAAAGAAAAAATAGAAAGGGTCATAAAGAAAAACAAGAAAAAAAAGAAGAGGAAGAGAAGGAGAAAAGGGATATTGGATTTTACCACTCTGTTTACACTCTCTTTAACTTTTCATGACAAGCTTGACTTGAGCGCAATAATATTTTGAACTGACACTGACCTTCAATAAAAGGCTTGCAATGGAGTGCAGCTAAAGGCATATTACAAAACACTTTTGTTCTTCTCAATATGTGCATGGCATGCTTGAATGCACCTAATGTTTGAAGTATCCTCGTCATTGCTATTTACTCTATTGAATGTGTGCTTTATTTCATTTAGCTTGGTGTCACAGAAATATTGAACTCCAAGAAGTTATCCATGTATTTCTACTTTCCAATTATGATTTAAACTGGGAGCCACTGTCTGTGACCCTTTGGCTTTTTACTCAATCTGTTAAGTACCAGCACACCCATTATTCTCTTACTTATTTGTATGATTTCACCGTTGGCTGTAACTTTTAACTAATTCATTAGCAAACAGGATTTCACTCTTATCATCCAACTGATTCGAGTCATAATAAGTATTTTTTTTAAATACGAAGACCAGAGAAGAAAAGAAAAAAAATCAAACAATTTAACCTGCTATGATAAAGTGTTTTGGCAATACCTTATAAATGTGAATATTACCTACAGAATACAGCACAAGACAAAAGAAATTATCTTTACAATTTAAAAATTGAAGCCTTTTTTTTTTCCAAAATGAAATGTAAAAGGAAATAAACAAATCTTCCCATTTAATAACGAACCCTAGTCATACACACATTCACGGTTTCCACTTTCAAATTTAAAAACAACTTGAAGAAAAAAATTAGTCCATTCAGTTTAAATAAAAAAAGTGTTGCACTGCACACCGAGAAAGCACTCTATAGTACCTTTTGCACTGGTTGAACTCTTGAGTGAAGATGAAGATTTATTGGCGAGAAAGAATCTTACATCACCGCTTTCAAAAAGGGTTATTTCTCCTGAAAAAGTGAGAGGAATTGATTTACAAAAATACTTTGATGACATAATCAACATTTTCTTACACATGCGGTTTATAACAACTGTATTCTGAGTACTGGTAGATTTTGATGCTGTTTTTTGTTGTTATAATTGATGATGTGAGTGAGGTTTTATTATTTCTGAATGAACGATCAGTAATCAAGTAATCTGTCAGGATATTAATCAAAATTTACAAAACAATACCATTTCGGATATAAAACCTTTCTTGCTGAAAAACATAGGTACTGCTGTCAAACTACATGTATCATACGGTATGTACAGGAACCATATTCTCATGATCTCATGAAGCTCATAAATAATGCATACTGTTTAGAAATACCGGGGAGAAATCATAGTGAGCTCCTCTGGATATACCATGTCATTTTTTTATTTATTTATTTATTTTTTAATTTTGATGTTTTCGTTATGTTTTTCCTGTTATAATTTTTTATATTTTCTTACAATGTATAATATGTTATGTGTATACTTGTTAAATTAAGTGGTCATTTTCAATAAGCCAATTAAGTGCTTTTCATGATCTGCCACTATTATTCATATGTATATGATATTGATTTGTAAGTTGTTCTTAAAGTGTAAATAAATTGAATTGCAATGTACATGCAGGGATATGTGAGTTAAATTCAAAAACTAATAACGGGAGGGGAGAATAATCATTTCGAAAATCATGAACATGGCTCACAATCATTTTACACCAGCCCATTAGCCAGTGGCAATAAAAAATGGTGGTAGAATAATTACAAGCTGACGCGCACAACATAGTTTAAATGGTCAATTATTCATATGTATATGATATTGATTTGTAAGTTGTTCTTAAAGTGTAAATAAATTGAATTGCAATGTACATGCAGGGATATGTGAGTTAAATTCAAAAACTAATAACGGGAGGGGAGAATAATCATTTCGAAAATCATGAACATGGCTCACAATCATTTTACACCAGCCCATTAGCCAGTGGCAATAAAAAATGGTGGTAGAATAATTACAAGCTGACGCGCACAACATAGTTTAAATGGTCAAATATTTGTATGGTTTTAGGAAATTGGTATGGCAGGCAAATAAGAAAAATATATTATGGTGTAATCTTGCTGGAAACAAGTGAAAAAGGTTCTGTGAAGTCTGGCATTATAGATAAAGAGAAATTGATGCAACAGGGAAAGGAAAGAGCATGGTTATAAAAGAAATATACCTTTGGGTCGTGCACCTGACATTGCCAATTTGATGTCGCCTTCATCCGTAAGCATAATTTCTCCTTTTGGAAGCCAAAAGTGTTGAGAAAGTGTTGAGAAAAATAATATATACAATGACATACTTGTAAGAGAAGAAATACATCTGCTTCAGCACAGGTGTATGAAAATGGGTTTAGAAATAGTTACATATTAAAAATTGGATTACATACTGACTACATGTGTAAAAAAAATGTTGAGTTAAGATTAGTTTTAAATCAGCATAAGATATGAACTTATTGTTGCCAAGGGAACGGAAACAACAATCAACAGTTCCTGAGGGTGATTGATAACTTTATACAAGATGTGTTGATTTTAGATCTCTTAGTGCTATAAGTATACATGTATGTATCAAACTACATCCGCAAACACATAATTATATGATTTTCATTTACTTCCAACAAGCATGTAATTGTATATGTGGGTACACATACACTTGTACACATGCACTTGAATCCTGTTTGCATTCTGAAAATTTCAACCAATATGATTTGCAGAGGATTATCTGACGTAATGTGTGTTCAAATTAAAGTCCTACGTGTATTTTAAATATCAGCACACAAATAATCTTCAAACAGTAAGAAACAGAAATAAGTTTAAAGCAGACAGATGTACGACCTGCTGTAGAAAGTAGTGAAACACAAGAACACCAGGGGGTCTTTCACAAAGATCCTAAGTTGAACTTATCTCTAAGCTGGACTTCAAAATTATGGAAAGCCGTTAGCATCTATGAATATATTTTGTAAAAGTTATTTTTAAAGGCATAAAATGTTGATTCAAATCATTCATGTTTTCTAATATTAAGGAGATTTCATGTTCTTCATGTGGAATTTATAAAAAGTCTAAAATACTTGAATTTTCGCTATAGTATATATTTTATTTTAAAACTTTAAATGGCTCACCATAATATTTAAGTCCAACTTAGAGTTAAGTTCGACTTGAGAT